TGGTGATCGGAGAAAGAAGTAGGTAACATTTAGAATCACCTGAGTTTATTTTCCGTTTTCCCCAGCACGTAAATGTTTTGAGTGACTGGAAACAAGCTTTTTTCTCCACAATTAAGGAGCAAGTCTTAGCAGTATATGAAGCACAAAATTGAATATGAAGCACGAAAGCTTATAGATATAGAAAAATCTACAGAAGAGGCTAGATGCAGTGGCTCACACCTGTAATCCGAGCACTGTGGGAAGCTTAGGCAAGCGAATCACCTGAGGTCGGGAATTCGAGACCAGCCCGGCCAACATGGTGAAACCCCATTTCTACTAAAAATACAGAAAGTAGCCAGGTGTGGTGGCGTGTACCTGTAATCCCAGCTACTTGGGAGGCTGAGGCAGCAGAATCGCTTAAACCCAGAAGGAGGCGGTTGCAGTGAACCGAGATCTCACCACTGCGCTCCAGCCTGGGCGACAGAGCGAGACTTTGTCTCAAAAAACAAAAAAAACCCCAAAGCATAGTTTCAGTTTTCTGCTGGTGAACATGTTAGAGTGGGGGGTTATGTATTGGGTACCCCCCACACAAAGAGCGTGGAAGTCAGAATGCACCCTTAGGGGATGACAGCCACGGTACATGTTTCCTCCGGGTGGACGCTCAGATGGGCTTCAGCTCCCGGTTTGGGAACTGAGGTTTGGTTCCGGTCAGCCAGCGCTCTTCATGGCGCAGGGGGAGTCTGCTCCTCCCACGTGTTTGGAAGAGACAGGAAGAGCCTTCCTCAAGGCAGAGAAGAGGAAAAGGAGATGCCTTTCATCAGTCTAGGTCCTGCTGCACTCTGTGGGAGCTGCCATCGCGGTCTTCCCAGGTCTCTCCCAGCCGCCTTTGTTGGACTTGAAGTCCTCATTCTCATTTAATTTTGTATTTATCATTAGAACTTTGGGTTAAGTTTTCTCATGTAAACGTTTTACATACAACTGAATACACTTTTCACTTATATGCAGAAGTCAGAGTTTAACCCATTAAAAACTTTCCCCAAATGTATTAGAGGTGATAACCTTGGCCGTAGAAACCTATCTAGGAACTACAGCTGCTTTTAGAGAGAAAGGAAACAGGATGCATTTCGGTTTTGTTTTTCAAATTTCCGCTTGGAAAAAGAAGGCTCTTTGTTGCCTGATAGACCTGATGTCAGATGTGCTGAGCCAGTTGCAGTGAGTGTGGGAAGCCTCTGCCCTGCAGGGAGGCTCCGCTCAGCTCCAGTTTTGCAAGATGGCTATTGGTACTAAATGAGGTATTAATATATGCCTGACAGTGTGGGTATTTGTCAGAAAGAGGATGTGATGTAGGTTAAACTGGCAAGACAAGAATAAAATGAGTACAGCAAAGCAAGAACAAAATGGCAAGAGTCAGGCTTTCTTCCCTAAGTTTTGTTTATTTCCCTGAAAATAAGTAGTCATTTTCTTGCAGGGGTGCTGCAGGAATTCAGCCAAGGCTGAGCCTGGGTTGAATCTTTACCCTTCGGCAGAGTAGGCCGGCTGCTGCAGTGGCGAGTTGGGGAAGACTGTGGGGTGGGGGGTTCTGAGCAGGCCTGAGGGGTCCAGCAAGGCTTCCTTAAGAGGTTGAGAGTACAGTGGAAAGCCTCGGGGTTTGAGAGGCTCTGGCAGGAGGTGGGGCTGGCCTTCTGTCTGCGGGGCCGCCTTGGCTGGTCGGGGCAGCAGGTGGACAGGCCAGGAGCATGAGGACCGCGGGAAGACTGTGTGGTTTGTGTCCTCTGAAGACAGAGCGTCTTGGGTGGGAGCAGGATGAAGGGCCCATTCCCGAGGGGAACACCGCCCACGGTGTGCTCAGGAGGAGGACGTTGGTGCCGTGACAGTGTGTGACGGTGATGGTCAAGTCAGGCACCCAGCACGTGACCGAGGGGATTCCTGCAGCCCCTGCTGCCCGCCACCGTCCAGACGTCTGTTCTTAATTAAGCCTTCTCACTCAGCTCCTGCTCTCCTCCCCTTCTTCTCTCCCTAGTTCGCTATGTGGGTGGACGCTGTTATATTTGTCTTCAGCTTGGAGGATGAAATAAGTTTCCAGACCGTTTACCACTACTACAGTCGAATGGCCAGCTATCGGAACACGAGCGAGATTCCTCTGGTTCTCGTGGGAACCCAGGGTGAGTGATGCTCGTGTGCAGGTGGTTTTCAGAGGATTCTGACAGTTATGTATTTTCAGTATGGGGGAGTTTAAAAATGCTTTAAAAAAGGAAAAATTGCCTACTGAATGCTCACTTTTTTTGGGAAAAATCGTGAAACTGAAATTATCACATTTCCTGATTGGATTTTATGGTGAAACCACTCATTTAACAACCTGAAAACAACACACACACACATGTCCTACGTGCTTTAGGAAAAATAAATCTATTTTCCCTTGTTTTCTGGGAAAAAAAAAATATATATATATATGTGTGTGTGTGTGTATGTGTATATGTTTTGTATATAAACATATATAGTCAAATACATATACTGTTTTCTGCTGTATTTTAATTCTTCGTTCTATAAAATGATTTATAAACAATCTATTAAAGCTTGTCTTTCAGTGCATCTTGAAAATAGTGCTGATTTTCAACATAAGAGCAGTTCCGTGTATTCAGTCTATTAAAGCTTGTCTTTCAGTGCATCTTGAAAATAGTGCTGATTTTCAACATAAGAGCAGTTCCGTGTATTAAGTTCTATTTGTCACCGTCTTGTGATCTGTATCTCATATTTAATCTAGCAGGCCCCTCAGAGAGCGTAGAATCATACTGGGCACGTTTCTTGTTTTCCCTCAGGTCACTTGACGCTTGGTCTGTTAGTAGAGTGGCTGTCACATGGACTGAGGCACAGCATCCTCGCTCTTGATCACAGACCCATGGTTGTGCTGGGGTCTGCCACTAGGGTCTACGATGTCACATAGGATGTTTTTAAAAGCCAGGTGGAGGTTAGCTTTAAAACTGCTTTGTCAGAAATATGGGTAACTGACAAATAATCCTGTCAGGAAAAATTGTATATCCCTTCATTTTGTTGTGGCTGTTAATAGACTGTCTTGCAAATTCTTTTAAAATTAGCCTATCTGACATGCCCGTCCATGCTCTGATGCGAGACGTTTCTCTTTAGGACGTCAGCTGTCCATACCTCACTGGGTGTGGTCTAAGTAGGAGATTGCACAGACAAATGATTGGCAGCTTGATCAGGAACCTACAAAAGCCCAGATAAATAGTGTGGCATAAACTAAAAGCATTTTGCAGCCAGACATGGTGGCTCACACCTGTAATCCCAGCACTTTGGGAGGCCCAGGCAGGTGGATCACTTGAAGTCAGGAGTTGACCAGCGTGGCCAACATGGTGAAACCCCGTCTCTACTAAAAATAGAAAAATTAGCCAGGCATGGTGGCGCATGCCTGTAGTACCAGCTACTCAGGAGGCTGAGGCAGGAGAATCACTTGAACCCAGGAAGCAGAGGTTGCAGTGAGCTGAGATCGCGCCACTGCACTCCAGCCTGGGTGACAGAGTAAGATTCTGTCTCAAAAAAATAAAATAAAATAAAAAGCCAGGCATGCTGGCAGGTACCTGTAATCCCAGCTACTTGGGAGCCTGAGGCAGGGGAATCTTTTGAATCTAGGGAGGTGGAGGTTGCAGTGAGCCAAGATTGTGCCACTGCACTCCAGCCTGGTAGACAGAGGGAGACTCGATCTCAAGAAAAAAAAAAGAGAAAAAACTAAAAGCATCTTCTCAGTGTGCTACTTGGGAGGTGTTAGAGTTGGGCTTCCTGGAGAGCACCTCTCCACCCCGTTTTTTTTTTTTTTTTTAAAGCACACGTGGAGTGGCCACCGGTCACTCTCCCTCCTGAAACCTTCAGAGCCAGAGCTCTGTTTATCCTCACTCAGACGGGAGGAGGGATTCTTAGGCCTAACACGCCCTCTAGTGTTCACCAGGAGACAAGGCCACACCACCAAAAAGTCCTTGGTTCTTGTGAGAATGCAGAATTGCCGTATTTGAGGTGGCATCTTGAAAATTCCTCATCGTGTTTTCAAGTGGATGCTCATCCACAGCAGATTCTGCTTAAAGCTGCCTTGAAGTCGAATACAGAAATTCCACATAAGCTCCCCTTCCCGCAGGCCCGACCGCGGCATTTCTGAGCAGACTCCTTCAGGGCTATGCAGACACTGCTCGTGGGCTGCTGGAGCTCAGGAGGTTTGATTTTAGGACTCAGAATGGGCTTTTGCTTGGACTCACTGTGAAAAGTGGCAGTGAAGTTCCCAGCCTGGAGAGATTCCCTGCAACCAGTGTCTGTTCTCTGAGTTCTGAGTACACAGCCATGTTCCGCCAGTGGGAAGGGAGTGTCTGAGATCCCGGGAGCTGGGACCACACACACCTGCGTGTGACTGGCTGCTGCTGGGTGACCGTGACCCCCGGGGCTCTGGTGGGGTTCAACAGGAATTCCCCAAAGACACTCAGTGCATCCATGGCTAGGTGATAGGTGTCTAATGGTGGCTGCTTTTTTCCCTCATATTTCAATGTGTGACTGGTGTTCCAAGGCCCTGCCTGGGATCCTGAACCCCACCCCCGACTATCCCTGCCCCTGGAGACAGCATATCCCTCTGAGTCTCCTGCCTGAGCCCAGGGGCACATCGAGCCTCCTGCCGGGATGGCTACTTAGATTCTCAGGAAACGCTAATGAAGTTGAAGTCCTTGAGTAAAAGAAAGTACCCCCGTTTATTCCCATGAATTCCATGAGCATCCGTTGATCGGATGTGGAAAGATGCCCAGGAAGACCACAGGGGAGCGTCTGCATGTGCGAGGGTGGCCTCCGGGGTGGGGAGGTAAAGCCGGCCCCACACCCTCCCTGGGTGAGCAGGTAAGCCGGCCCCACACCCTCCCTGGGCGAGTAGGTAAGCCGGCCCCACGCCCTCCCTGGGCGAGCAGGTAAGCCGGCCCCATGCCCTCCCTGGGTGAGCAGGTAAGCCGGCCTCACGCCCTCCCTGGGCGAGTAGGTAAGCCGGCCCCACGCCCTCCCTGGGCGAGCAGGTAAGCCGGCCCCACACCCTCCCTGGGCGAGCAGGTAAGCCGGCCCCACACCCTCCCTGGGCGAGCAGGTAAGCCGGCCCCACACCCTCCCTGGGCGAGCAGGTAAGCCGGCCCCATGCCCTCCCTGTGGGACTCTTTTTAGCTGGACCACCCTCAGATGAACCAGAACGAAAAGTTCCAATTAGGGCTGCATTCCTCACCTGTGGGATTCTCTTGGTCCTTACCCAGACTTCAAGGAGCACCCCAGCAGCCCGGTGGCAGGAAGCTGGCGTGCACGTGGGCTCGGAGGGTCCCTGCTGCGACGCTTGCTTCCTGCCTGCAGACTTGATCTCTGTGAAGCCTGTGCTCGGCTGCTTTTGCAGGGGCTTGGCTTCCTGGGCCGCCAGAGACAAAAGAGGGACCACGTTGTCCGAGAGGGCACCTGGCGTTTCTCTTCCTGCTGGTTTGGGGTAGGCAGCCAGAGAGGTCAGAGCATATGGGATGGGAGAGAACCGAACAGGAGTTAGGTTCATTGCCAAAGAATGCCTGGGCTGGGGTGAGGCCTCCGCCCGCTGGCAGGAGGGGCAGCTCTGCCCACAGGAGCTCTTTCTGGGCAGTAGCTAAGGACTACACGAATGTTCGTAATTGGACAAGATGGGAATGAATGAGGTAATCATTTAATGTTTGTTAAACAGGTTCTGTTTTAAAGACTTGCAAATTAAATGGATTTGAGGGAGAAGCAGGATCTGTAAAAAGCTACGGAGTTAAAAGTGGAATGAAAATGAGACAGGTATAGAACCGAAATGCGAGTGCAGAAGCCCGTTTCCATGCAGTGGCAGAGATTCCCATGGTGCACCTTTGAAGCGGAAAGTTGACAGAAACCGAGTGAGCCACTGAGGACGGAGGGGCTGCGGGATCGCTGGGCCGCAGGTCAGGGTCTCGTGGAAGCCGGGTGGATGCCACGTGGCCTGTGTTTTCAAAATTATCCTAGAACATTGAAACATCATGGACTTCTAACTTCTTTCTACAATTAAAAAGAAATGTTTATACTTAAAGAAAAAAATTTATTTTCTTAAATGTTGTGAAATCAAGGAGATTTACTAATCAGCAAGACAAGAAGGCAGGACGAGGTGCCCTTTGACCGTATCCCTGGAACGGGGGTGCAGCCTGTGGAGCCTGTAGTGGCGATTGTCAGAGGAAGAACCCTTAACTACAGAGTTCAGTTGCCTTCTGGTAACGGAGAAGCGTCAGCCCAAACCTATTTCATAGGGTTGAGAAAATAACATGAGAAAAGAGAAAAGGAAAAACTGAATACGTTCCTCAGGACATCACGTTTTAAATATACTTCAGAAAATGGAGTTGCCAAATGCCCTTCCTCCACAAAAATAAAATGTCAAAGGTGGTCGCTCTGCAGTATAACTTCACTACTATTTCTTTGGCTGGTAGAGAAATCCTGTTGGTGGATTTTTGTTTAAAGAGTTGTTTACTGTTTTCTTTGGCATAAGAGCCTTCAAGCCCTATGAAAGAGATTCAGGTTAGGAAACTGTCTCTGAAGGCTGGGCACAGTGGCTCACGCCTGTAATCCCAGCACTTTGGGAGGCCCAGGCGGGTGGGTCATTTGAGGCCAGGAGTTTGACACCAGCCTGGCCAACATGGTGAAACCCTGTGTCTACTAAAAATACAAAAAATTAGCTGGGCGTGGTGGTGGGTACCTGTAATCTCAGCTACTTGGGAGCCTGAGGCAGGAGAATCACTTGAAACCAGGAGGCAGAGGTTGCAGTGAGCCAGATCACGCCACTGTACTCCAGTCTGGGCGACAGAGTGAGACTCCATCTCATTTAAAAAAAGAAAGAAAGAAAGAAAAAGAAAACCGTCTGTGAAAAGTCCTCTCTCTCCCCTAAGCCTCGTGGCTGTTCACATTCCAGCTCCTCATTTCTCTGTTCCATGTGCCACTGTAACTCAGTAGTAACAGAATGAATGCGGCGGGTCTGAGGGTGGGGAATCCTGGCAGCTGAACTTAAAAAAAAAAAATGGCTCAGTTTCTTTTTTAGGAAACGGGTGCCAACATCCCTGCAGCTGCTCAAACGCCCCCATGTGCACACATGACTTAGATTGGGTGGATTCAGGTCACCTGTGACCCTGAGGAGGTCCATCAAAACCTCAGGGGACTCGCTGCTCCCCTCTCCGCACACCTCCCTCACCCCCTAGGCCTCACCCCTGCAGCATCTCCCTCACATGCACCAGCTGCCCTGCCGCCCTCTGCCTCAGGCACTCTGCCCCAGGCAGTGGCGGCTGCACCCACCTGCTGCAGGTGAGGGTTCCCTGATCCCTTTAGCAAGGGCTCTAAAACCCAGACTCACCCAAGCCTCCTGACCTCCTTCCCGGCATCACTCAGTGTGGCCATCTTACATTCAGAACCATTCATCACATTCGTCTTTATTTTCTGCTTGCCTCTCTGGCCAGCTAGAATGTCTATTTCATTCACTGGGGTGTCCCTGTGCATAGACCAGGAACAGACCCCAAATGGGGGCTCAGTGAGCATTTATTCAATGGGTCATTGCACAAGCGACCACACCTGGAAGAAGAATGCCAGTGTAGGGAATATGCTTAGCCACCTGCGTGGTGCACAGAAGGGGACCTGCACGTAGGGACTGTGTGTGTGGTTTTTCCTTCTTTCTGAAGTATGTGTCTTCTAGACCCACATTTAAGTCTTGCTGCTTCTTTCTAAACCTTGTAAAATTTCAGTTTCAGAAGCTCTCCTGCAAAACACATTTCTACTAATGAATAACTTTCTCCGGTGTTTGAGTCTGTTATTTGGGAGGCAAACTATGCTCTACAAACTCCAGATTCATAGACTAATAACATTTCTATTGAGTAAGGTACCGGTTTTCTGCGATGTGGGGAGTGTGGGAAGTAATCAGAGCTATCGTTGTCACCGTGCTGTTACTTTTTTGGTCTTCTGTTCCAGATGCCATAAGTTCTACTAACCCGAGAGTCATCGATGACGCCAGAGCGAGGAAGCTCTCCAACGACCTGAAACGGTGCACGTACTACGAGACGTGTGCTACCTACGGGCTGAACGTGGAGAGGGTCTTCCAGGACGGTAAATGCGCATGGCTGGGAATTTACTTTCAGTTCACGATACAGGAGGCAGTTCAAGAAACCAGTCCTGCCTGCACTTGTGCACATGGATGGCGGAAATACGTCATTGATGGGTGATCATTGATGGGTGGGCGTTAGTATCGAGAGCACTCCATTCCAGAGGCGACTCTCAGGTATGTTTCGGATATAAAGTGCCGTGTTCAGAAGAGACAACAAGACATGGCTTGAGAACAGCCTGGTGTTGGGTCTGCGTGTCACCTATGGGGCCTTTTTGTATACAGGATAGAACATTTCTTGAGCTGTTGTTCATCCACGGGCTCCATAAAACTTGTTTGTGAGCCATTTCTTTATTGTCATTGCCCATGCTTAATCCAATCCCGTCCTTTAAAGCAGTTTCAATATTTGATATCAGGCTTTGAGGAGAGAACTGAAAGGAGGAGAGAGAGTATCAAGTTTGGACTTGCCCACCAAAAACGTAATAACATGGCACGGTAGGACTCACAGCCACGAGTGAGGACCAGCCTTTTGGAATTGTTTTCAGGTGATTTTATTCATTATTGATCATCTGCCTTCAGGAACGGCCACAAATCAGACAGACAATTCTCCTAGAAGAGCTGAGGTTCTGCAAGGGGGTCAGATACTGCCGGATGATAGTAGCTCCATACGTCGGCTATGAGAGAGGAGCCTGTGGAGATGCGTGGGGTGGGCGGGAGAGGTGGCGTCACCCTGGGGATAGGAAGGTCTGGGGTGAATAAAGACTGATATTTCTAAATGCAGTCTTTTCCACCTGGGAGCTTGGGAGAGGCCTGGTGTTCTGGCAGAGGGTCGCACTGCTGGCGGGAGTGGTGGAAATCACTTGTAGGTCCTCTCCCCTTCTGGTTTAAATGCATGGGGGCCGAGCCACCTGTGTCCCTGCTCTGGTGCCGAGGGGGTTGTTGGGGGCAGAGCAGGGCAGCCACACTGGGGTCTCCGGAGAGTGCCAGAGCCGCTCGGAGCTGGGAGGAGATGGAGGACTCGCCGCGCCCTGACCCCGAAGACCAACTATGAAAGCAGTGACTACAGGACTGTTTCGGGACCTCCTCCAAATGGGGCAACCTGTGTTGTTCTTTTAAATGTTTCAATTAGTCTTCAGATGCCGTTGTAGAGATTCTATACGTTCACTGTTCAACTCAATTTCAAAGATGACATCAGTTCCGTCAGTTCTCAGACTTCACGTTTTCTTTCCTGTAGCAGTGAGGTTCCTTTTCTGAGCCTGCCGTCTCTTCCCGCGCATCTCTGCCTCTCAGATACTCAGCTGCACTTCAGCACGTTGGTCCTAGTTAGTCCTTCACGGCTTCAGCATTTCTTCTCGCCTTTTCCAGTGCCAGTGCTGAAGAAGCACAGGGTTCCCCTGAGAGGCAGCACGAAGTCGCTGGGGGCCCCCAGCCCCTTCTTCCCTCCACTCACGTTTATTCCAGGCACCTCATGCCGCCTCTGTTGGGAGAACGTCCTGTGGGGAGCAAACCTCATGTCAAGCCGTGCCGGTGAACAATAGTGAGATGTTAGTAAGACGTGGAAGAACCGTGCAGGGAGGCCCTTGGAGCTCTTCCGAGAGGTGAACCCTCAGGGAGCAAGGTCACTGTCGGCCACCGTGCTGCTGAGGCCCCGTGAATGTTGAAGTAAAGCATTGTAGATGAAGCGTCCCCGGGCCCACGCATGAGGCCAGCTGCCTGTTTTCATAAAGAGACTTTTCTTCTTTTTTTTAGACAGAGTCTCGCTCTGCCACCCAGGCTGGAGTGCAGGGGTGCGATCGGCTCACTGCAACCTCCACTTCCCAGGTTCAGGCAATTCTTGTGCCTCAGCCCCCCCAGTAGCTGGGATTACAGGCACTCACCACCACACCTGGCTAATGCTTTATATTTTAGTAGAGACGGGATTTTCACCATGTTGCCCAAGTTGGTCTCAAACTCCTGAGTTCAGGCAATCCGCCGACCTTGGCCTCCCAGAGTGCTAGGATTATAGGCATGAGCCACCGCGCCTGGCTGTAAATAGGCTTTTGGTGACACAGAGCCACGCTTAGTGTCGATGGGTTGCAGCGACTTTGGGCTGTTCTCCAGCTGTGACAGCAGAGATGAGGGTGTTTGCGGCCCGCAGAGCCCAGAATATTTCCTCTCTGGCCCGTACAGAGAGCCTGCCAGTCCCCGATGCAGGATATCAGGGACTCAGTTGTCTGGCTAAGTTGAGTCTGCACAGTGACTCCTTTGCTTTTGTATTTATCATGGTTAACATACATGAGTTTTCCATAAATTGATGAACGTTCCTTATAAAAATAATGTTATCAGTTCATGAATGCTGGAGGATGTCAGGATGATGGTGCCTTCCTGCCAAACAGCCTATCTTCGTCCGTTCTGGCTGCTCTAACAAGACCCAGTGGCTTACACAACAGACTTTTGTTTTTCCCAGTTATGGAGGATGGGAGTCCAGGGCCAGGTGCTGGTGGGTGTGGTGCCTGCTGAGGGCCATCCTCCTGGTGGGCTGTGTGCTCACATAGTGGAGAACAGAGGACATGAGCCCTCGCCTGTCCCTTCCCATAAAGGCGCTTAACCCATCACAGGGCTCCACCCTTGTGACCAGTCACCTGGCAGAGGCCCCACTTTCCCCCTGAGGGTCGGGATTTCAGGGTAAGAATTTGGGTTGAGTTCCATACCATACCCAGCACGTTCAAGTCTGAGGACAGGCAGCCACCTCTGTGTTGGAAGTGTTTCGTTTTCTTCAAGTTGGGGGGTTGGCAAGGGGAGAATAAGGACTGATATTTCTAAATATTTTTACTTTAAAATATTTAGATAAAGCGTTTCCGTGGCTGTGACAGCTCATGTCACACCTCCCCAGGTAGTGCTGTGACGAGTGTCTGTGTTCATAGGCACAGGAGATTTCCATTCCAGTTTCATGTTTTAGAAATAATATATTCTCTGCT